ATATATTTCTAATAATACTAACTTTTTCTTTAATCGGATCCCATACCGTATATCCATTTTGATTTGTAACCAACATTTAATAATTTTTGAAACAATCAAAAATGTTACTTTTGTTTTGAATTATATATACTACACTAAAATGTGTGAAGTCATCAAGAAAGGTAACAAAATATCGTTTATTGTCATATGTAGTGGGTGTTATTGGACCACAAATATCACTGTACAATTTCAAGAGGTCTTTTTATTATTTTTCCAGATACTTTATTAAACGGCAAACGAATTATTTTAGACTGAGTACATATTGAACAAATTTCAGATTCTTTTTTCATATTAATATTATCATCAATACCAATTACCATATTGTGTTTACTCTGTTTTTAAACTAAGAGGAGCGATTTGAATTTAAATTGGAAATTCTGTAGACTTCTGATTGGTCAAATTGCAGTCAGTTTCACACATTACTTTTTAGCATGAACATCAGCTAATAATTGATATTGTTGACAGTTCTGACATTTTATAATTTGATACCTCAGCATTACTTAGTTTTTACTTTATTTCCTAAATAATAGTTCTTCAGTAAGCAATTGTATTGAAAATCTACAATTATGAATCCTTCTACACTGAGTACTATTAAAGGTAGTAGCAATTCCTGAAAGCCCTATAAGAAGGGGAAGACACCTTATTGTTTACATGCTGATTCTAAAGAAGGTTTTGTAGAAAATGAATTATTGGTTTTTGAAGGTAAAAAGATATTAAGATGTAACTAAATATTCAAGTAAATTTTATTTATTAGAAAAGAAACCCATTGACAAAATTGTTATAACATTTAAAACACCATTTACTACTTTAGGAATAATCTTAATTTAGCACAATGAGTTAACATTACTTTCACAAAAAATATTTAAAATTAATACATGGGTATGTATGAATAGTTCACCTTAAAAAATATATGTTGACATGTAGTATTATGAAAATGTTGGTTCCAGGTTTCAAAACAAATTCTGACCCATAGGCCTATAAACTTTTGAATGCCTTTATTTGCCCTTTAGAGTTTTAACTATGGGTTAACACTAAATGAGCCATAATATCCAAATTACTCATAGGAGAGATACCAGTTACTGTGTGATCCACTTGTCATTCACTGATTAACTTTTACTTTTTATACCTATAACAAATATATCCTTAAAAATGTAAACAGACCAGAGTGTTATATTTTAGACTAACCTAGCTACATCTGGGATATTCTATTAACAATTTTCTTAAATATTTAATATCCATTTTAAAAAGATCAGTTATTCTCAAAAGCAAGAAAAAAGTGTTTCTGTTTCTGATATCAATCAAACAACCATATTGGCTGAGTTCGGTTTGGCGTTCGCTGTACTGAGTGCACTCGGTATGCCTCGATTGTGGTCGCCTTGGCACTCAGAGCGTACTCTTTTATGTTCGGCTTACCACAGATCACGTACTCAGAGCGCGCTCACTCTTCCCCGAGTTGGCCGATGGAGATCAGCGGGTATCTGTAGGAATGTGTCAAAAATGTCAAATGTCAATTTTCTGATCGGTGATTAATCAGTTTTACACGTAATATTTCTTGTTTGTTTCTGTTACAACTATTTTCTATTTGATTAAAATTATTTTTTTAAAGTCCATAGACACACACAAAAGTGTATTAAAGTGCAAACTATCACTAGTGTCATAGGTCATTCCCCTTGTGTTCGTTTTGAGATTCTAAAAAGAGTGAACTCTGTCTATGACGTCACGTACTCCGTGCGCGCTCTGTGCGATCCGTCGAGTTCCAAACCGATCTTACCCATTGAATTTTATTTGACAGTGACAGTTCGTTTTAGACACACATTTCAGATCACAATGTGAAATTTTCGACCGTTGTCTGGGACCAATAAAAAATGACTTATGACATTTATTCGTTTCTTAGCCGCTCATTGGCAGTTCACCGACTAAGGCCGATAGAGATAACTATTTCATAAATTTTGAACACGACTATATTTCGAAACACGCTGTTAGTAACAAATCTAGTTACTTTTCCCCGTGTAAATGCGTCTTTTCAATTCGCTCCTCCACTTTTAAAAACAGTATAGTCTTTTGAAATTTTGTTCACTTGGAGATGACCTAACCTAGCATTCCATAGTTTATAATTATTTTTCTCAGTAAGATTTACCTCTATCAATTACAATATTAATTTCAATAACATACAAATTATTTTCCTTTCTACTAATAAGTCAGAATTTTTATAAATATAAAGAGAATTATTTTCAAAGCACACTTTTAAACCAGATTTTTCTAATTTTTTAACTGATAATAAATTTTGTCTTAAATTTTTAACAAAAATAATATCTTTAATTTCTCTTGAATTTATATGTTCTCCAATTAATTCTATTTTTATTTTTCCTACTTTTGTAGCCTTAAGCATTCATTATTTTTAGCGACAGAATTTTAATCATTGACCATGTGGTCAGTTGCACCAGAGTCTACAATAAATTTTATTGAAGTATTACTTGTAAGTACTTCACAGTTTAAGGCTGCTTCTACTTCTGCAACAAAGTCTATATGTTCTCCTTCATGTTCAGCTGATGTTTCATTTGCCCGCCTTCCATTAGTGTTATTTTTATTAAACCAACTGATTTCTATGATGTCGTGGCTTTCCACAGTTGTGACAGTTGAACTTCTTCGTTCCTTTGAAATTTCCTTTTGGTTTGTTTTGTTTCCAGTCACCTTATTTATTTTTCCAATCTTTTTGTATCCACTAAAAGCTGCAGCAGCTGATGATTTTTCATTTCCTTTGTTCCTCTTTTTCATTTCGTGGTCAAGTAGTTTTCCTTTCACAAATTCATGAGTGAGTTTATCCATGTTCTAGGGTTTCTAGTGCAGTAACTATAGTATCGTAACTCTCTAGTAACATGAGGAAGAGATGGCACACTACATTAGTTTCCTCTAAAGTTGCACCTACAGTTTTTAATTCCCTAATTGTTTCCTCAGACTTAATACAGGGATTTTCCAGTGTTTTGTTCTTTTCTAATTTCATAGTTAATAGTTTTCTACGTAGGTATAGCTGACTGGCAATTCCTTTTCTTTCGAAAACTTTTTCAAGTGCCTTTCACATTTCATATGACGTCTTTTTATCTTTTATGTATTCTAGATGTGAGTTAGCAACACATTGCACTATTAGCGACTTACATTTTTTTGGCGAGTTTTCTTTGTTCTTCGGTAGGATTTTCTAGTGGAACATCAATGCAAAAGTTGAACCCGTTCTGATCAATTCGAGTTTCCACTCTAAATTTCCAATGGTCAAAATCTTTTCCGTCAAATTGAACGATTCCATATTTTTCTAGCGTCAGATTCACTCTAGACGATTCCATTTTTTGTTTCTATGTTCATTCCTGGTTAAAATTCCAACTTGTATAAAAACGTGTGGCTCCTGGGCACATAACCTGTTGATTGGATAAGTGGAATACCACGATAAGTTGTGATTTATATGTAAACTGAGGATAACTGTTTTAGTTTTTAATATTCAATTAACAGAAAAAAATAATTGCAACGGACATTTTATACAATTAGGCATTCCAACGACTTTTCAAACTGCTAACAAGTGGGAACTGACATTTAGATAAGGCAACTCTGTGAGTCTGTTGTCATTGACAGGGTCAGTGATACATATATAATTATATAGATTGCTCAAAGCGAGTCGTTTGCGAGTAAAATAAAAATAATGACCTACATTTTTATTTCAAAGCTTATGTTTATTTTGAAAATATGGATGATCAATCTATGTAACTATCTATTTAATTGACCTTATCAAATCACCAGGCCTACAGGGTTGCCATAATTTTACCATATCATAACCTGTCAAAACCCACTGGTAGCCATTTTGTTTGGAATATACATACTTCGATTTTCTCTTGTACGTGTCGGAATGCCTATTAGGCATTCCAAACAAATGAATTGCCAGTGGGCAGGTTTGGTAGATCTGACGGTTGCGACATACGATGTATTCTATCTACAATACGTAAAATCATGAATAATGGATTACATTTAAATATTTTATATCGAACACTATAAAAATATTAAATAAAAAAACTGCTTGTACATTTTTTTAAAAACTGGCAAGATTGGCGACTGATATTTCGAATAAAAATAGCGTCCAAGATGCAAGACTATGTCGCTACCCCCTTAGATATACGAGACCTTCCCACTGCCAGGTATTGTTTGACAGGTCGTTGGAATGCCTAATTATTCGAATATTCAATCATTGACATTGACAGTTGACATTTGAACAACCACTGATATATGAAATATAGATGACACTCTTTTGATTGTCTTACAATAGAAATCATTTATACCAACCATAAAAATTACAAAGTTTAAGACACCAAAGTCTTTTTTTCACTTTTCAACATCCTCAAAGAATGTATTTCTCTCAAAGGTGCAATATTATTTCAAATGTTTTTTTTACTATGACGTTCGTGTTTTCCAACAACAATAGTAACTGTACCTTCCACTAGTAAATGAAGACAAAAATACCCATAAAATGCATAGTCGCTATTGGGTACGAAATATTTTGGAAAATAAAGATGATGTGAAATTGAGAATTTGTAACCCACGCTTTCAGAAATGGATCATGCAATGTTCTATTGTCGTTTACAAGTTGATAGTTTAGCCTATATATTTGAATTTATAGAAAATAATATAATGATGTCAAGTATGGTTGATCACGTCCGATGTGTTAAGTGAGAAACAATTTTTAAATTTGTTCATTACTATCGAATAATTAAATAATTCATTTTCTTATTTATTATTAAATTCCACATAATATTTTTTTCGTATTTAATTAATGAGCCATTGAGAAAAACCATAATTGGAATTGGCTGTGAAATTAATGAAATTTTGATTTTCATCATTAGATCCTAAAAAAATTGTCATCGTTGAAGTAATTTATTTTTCAGTATTTAACAAAAGTTACGCATTATTTCCTCTTGTGTCGCCAGGTCTCGAAGTCGTTCCAGAAGTCGTTCGAGGGACCGCAGAACCCGCAGCAGAAGCAACTCCCGCTCGCGCAGCCGTTCCAGGAACCGTTCTCGATCCGATTCCAGGAAAAGGAGTCGCAGCCGTTCTCGTACCAACGATAAGCGTTCAAGGTCTAAATCTCATTCTAGATCAAGGTCGCGCAGCAGGTCTACTAATAAAAAGGACAGCGGAAATTTTAAGGGGGATAATTAACGTCGGCCCGTATTGAAGAAGCCTAAAAAATATTCGACATGATGACTAAAAACTGTGTAAATGTTGCACTCTTAAATCAAACGGGCAATCTAATTTAAAAAAATGCACTTTAATCGTTTTATTTAATTGATGGATGATTTTTATTTTTCAAATAATCAAGTACGTAAAAGTTGCTGGTTTTGTTACCTTTTTTTTTTTATTAATAATTAATTTGTCATGGTAAAAGTTTTGGTTGGTTTTCATACATGGCCATTTAGTGTGTATAGCCAGTAATTCGTTGTTAAAACTACATAGATAAAGACAAAATAATACAGAACCAAAAAGGATATAAAAAAAATGACCATTCTTAATGTAGAGTCTGATTACGATAAGAAGAACACAACTACGTCATCATTTGTGGAAGTAATTTATTAGCTATCGCCGCCTACTAGGGGCTTAATGTCCTGTTGATATTCTAGGAATGAAGGAAATATTTTTTTTAACCCGATTTATTATTTATTTATTGATAGAAATCATGGCTATGATGTAGCGGTGTTCTTCTTATTGTAATCGGATTCTACTTCATTTGTTTTCTGCTTACATTGCCAAAATGTAATAAAATATTTCAATAATTTGTGTATTTATAAGTATAATTTTTTCTTATAATAAATGTATAAAATATATTTGTCAATAAATTATTTCATACCTAAAGGGGCCGTATCTCAAGTAATTCTCCACCAAAGCAGAGTAAAGAAGATTTAATTTGTTTAATATTAAGAATTGATGTAAAATATTTAAATGTGTAGAGGATAAACCTCAATTTTTTTACAAATGAATGTAAAAGATGGCGATTTAGATAGATTCTTAAATATTTTATATTTGTTACTTAGTTAATTATTCTAAAGCAGGGATGGGGAAACTTTTTCCTCCGCGTGCCAATATTTACTAACGAAATATATGGCGGGCCAAGTTGTTGATTTTTTGGCTATATTATTTATTGAAATAAAAATTATGATATGTATTTTCTGAAACACTAATTTATTGTGCAAAATTACAAAATATTAATACAAGAAAGAAATTGCAATTAAATTAAACTTTTAAGTTGTCTGTGAAGTAGAAGGATGAGGAGCGCTTGTCTTTGTAGGGACATGTGACATGTGGAACTGTTTTTGTTTCTGCATGATGTCATCATAAGCCGGCTCCATTTGTGATGCTGAAATTTTTAACAGTGAAAAAAGGTGGTCATCCGAAAGCCTATTACGAAGACAATTTTTTCTTAGTTTCGTTATTGAAAACGTTTGTTCGCACAAATAGCTTGTACCAAACATAGCCATTATTTTTTGAGCGTGGGCAACTATATTTGGGTATTGTGTCCTAGATATGGACTTATAAAATTCCAATTTGTTGGTGTTGAGAAATAGTTGCTTCAGATGGGTATTGCATTGCATCTCAATTAGTTCAAGTTGGAGGTTAGCGGGTGTTTCATCAACGTTAACATTAAAAGGCATCGAAAAAATATTTAGTGACTGCTCAATTCTCTTAAAATCTTGAAATCGCTTCTCAAATTCCTCGTGCAGTTTCTTCAGTTGTTGAGCGAACCTATTTAACTTGTCGTCTGAGACAGGTGATATGCTGCTCAGTTTGGGAAATTGGGTAAGTTCATTTTTCTCTACACAACTGCAAAACAATTTAAGCTGTAATTTGAAGGCTTTTAAATGTCCCCAAAGCTCATCTAAGAATTGATTCTTTCCCTGAAGCTTCGTATTTAATTTATTTAGGTGTGACAGCAAATCTGTGAAAAATGCGAAATCAGGAAGCCAATTTTCGTCAGCCATGATCTTAAAGTCGTCCCATTTACCTTGCTCCGTCAGAAAGTCTTGAATCTCCTTTCTTAAGTTCCACACTCTCTCAAATGCATTACCACAGCTTAACCATCTCACTTTAGTATGGTAAAGGATATCAGAGAACTCGCTTTCGGTGGATTTTAGAAATTCTTGGAATTGTCGATGCATCAAACCCCGTGAACGTATTGTGTTGATAAGTTTAACAACCACACTCAAAACGGGTTGTATGTCAATAGCTGCTTTACACAACACATCCTGGTGTATTAAACAATGCAGAAATAATACATTATTATTAGGATTTTCTTTGCAAAATATACCCATAAACCCCAAATGGCTTCCCACCATATTGGGTGCTCCATCCGTGGTTATGTTACATAATTTATCCATAGGCAAGTTAAACTTTGAAATACCCTCAAAACAAGAATCGTAAATAATTTTTCCAGTTGTTTTTCCTTTCAAGGATTGTAAGCATGCTAATTCTTCGGTTATGTTGAACTCTGAATCAATTGCTCTAATAAAAATCAGCAATTGGGCAGTATCGTTCATGTCTGTGCTCTCATCCATGGTTAGAGAAAAGTATTCAAATTTGTTACAATTCATTTCTAGCTGTGACGATAATTGTTTAGCGATGGCGTCAATTCGATCAGTTATCGTTCTCCGTGATAAAGCTAAAGATTGAAACTCTTTACTTTTTTCTGGACAAATAATGTTGCTTACAGCCACCATGCAATCTTTTACAAATTCACCATCCGATAATGTTCTGTTACTTTTAGCAATTTTGTAAGCTACAACATAACTTGCCAGTGTTGCAGCCTTCTGAGTAACAGATTGCTTTGTGAACATGTTCTGCTGTCCACGTAACTTCTCTTTTTGCCTTTCAACAAAAGACTTTTTCTCTGCTTCCGTCATAGATAAATATTTTGCACTTGCATGTTTTTTTGAGAAGTGTCGAGACAAATTAAAATCTTTAAAAACTGCAACTGTTTCATTACAAATGAGGCAAACTGGTTTGTCTTTAAATTCTGTGAAGAAATATTTCCATGACCATTCTTCTTTAAAAACTCGACACTCAGAATCGACTTTTCGTTTTTTGGTCGTCATTTTGCTGCTGTAACAAAACAATAAAGCCAACATCAATACATCGCCCAAACATATTTTATAATCAAATCATTTCAAGACACAAAAAGTGATGACAAAGTACGTGATAACATCTTACCTTGCTGATTTAAAAATGTCACCGTCTGTTAGCTGATTGTTGTAGTTTCGTAAGTAAGAAAATACGGCGTACGAACATGCGATTTGAAGTAAGACAAAACTTTGACTGCGGCGGCGGTCGGACCGCGCGCGCCCAGTCGATAGCTTCATTTTCGGTTTTCGTTTACCGCCCGTGCTCGTGAAATAATACACGTGATTGTTTTATGCGAGACGCGCTCTGTCAATAAGAATGAAATATGAAATTTCTACAATATGAAAAATTCACTTGATTTTTTGTTTAATGTTCACGACAGTCACGGGCCGGATTTCAACGCTTCGCGGGCCGGAGATGGCCCGCGGGCCGTAGTTTCCCCATCCCTGTTCTAAAGTGACATTATTATTATTATTAAAATTTGAATTATTAAAGAAAGGTGCTGATGGTTTATTACAAAAGAATGGTAAGTAAAAGGATTTCAGAAAAGTCACTCTGCTAGATCTTTAATATATTGCCGTGTGTCGCTGTTAGTAAAGCCCAAAATCTTACCTTTAGATTTAATTGAAAACAGATTGCTAATATATAAATTAAAAGAGGAGTGGGCTTAGAATAATACCTTGGGGAACTCCATATGTCTTGCCGGTTATCCTTCCTCCATGGAAATTACTGCACGAGTTAATCTAACCATTTTGTGTTCTTCCATATAAATATGTTTTAAATAATTTAATACTATAGTTCTCTAGGTATCGACAAGGATGACTGACAGTGTTAAGGCATTTGAGAGGTCCAGAAACGCGCAAAAACGGGGGTTGCTTCTATCAAGAACATGTTAATTTTTGTCTGTCTGAGCCAATAAATTTAGTAGATTTATTTTTCTATAGTAAATTATATTTATTTAAATATGAGATTAAATATGTCTAACCCCTTCACAAAAACCCAAAATTACCCCTACGAAATAATGAAATTGTTGCGGTTAGGTTGAATAATATATAAATATATTTGAATAATAAAAAATGTTATGCCGTACATTTGGGCTAGACCGATTCTGACCAGTGAGCACTTTGCATTGGTCCAAACAAGAGTTCATTAAAAATGAGAAGAATAAAATCGGGATGTGCAACTTTTTTAAAACATCGATATTGACATCAAAATACATCGAATCACTTTGAGTTAAGACGGAATTTGCACGCCAGGAAATTCATAACAGAAACTAGAAATTAACTAAGTTGTCAATAGATGGCGATTAAATGCACTTCTGCGAAATAATTCAAATGTTGAATTATACCTGCCTGTTTGCCAAGATGTGTAAACTACTTTCCGGCGACCCGACAAGCGTCCCCTCCCTCCCAAATCTAAAGTGCTCGTAACATTTTATTGTACCACCGGACGAGACAAACACTACATTACATTAGAATATCGAACATATAGGGACCGTATTTAAATAATTTTGTCCACGATCACTTAATAATAAATCAATATTCTACCTCCTAACTAAAAGCATATAGTACCCATATATCACGGAGTGAATTATGATAATTCACGCTTTTATAATTCTGGCACATTTCGGTAGATAACTAAAGATAGGCGATACTTTTCATAACGATATTTTCTAGATCGAAAAATCTAAAAATCGATAAATCGAAAAATTGAAAAGTGGAAAAAACAACAGTTATCTATGTTTAATAAAAACTTTCCATTCTACACTTAACTTTTATTTAATAAAGAAACCATAATGGTCGTGGACAAAGTATAGTATTAGACTCGCAATTTATGGCCATTATTCACTCGGGTGACTTGCACCCCTCGCCTACGGCTCGGGACGCAAACGTCATCCTGCGTGAATAATGGCTACCATAAATTGCTCGTTTAATAATATACTATTATGAACTAGAATAAAACTTTTAGGACAATGTAATATAAACATTTGAATCTATTTTGGTTCGTATATTATTAAGTAGTTCTTTGTTCATCCAGTCTGAGCTTATTTGTTAGTTATCATTGTTTTGTGTTTTTTTAGTGTTTTTATAGGTAGTTACACGTTACCTAGCAGTTGATCAACTGAGTTTGTTTATTAAATTTAATTTTGTTCTTGTTTGTGGTGGCGCAAACAGATTATGCTTAAGTTGGCCTTAAGGATAAAAGCATAATCTATTCGCTCCATTATTTATCCATCATGATTTAAAAAGCAGTGAAGCGATTGATACTGTTGACAGTTGTAAGCAAAACATGTTTGACGACGGTGAAGACGGTCAATAATAAGTAATAGTAATAATTCATTTTATTGACCTTAAATTAACCATTTACGAAAAAATCTGATGTGTCCAACACATGACTTTCCTATCTAGTTATTACAGGCTTTTCCCGATTATTTTGTACAACCTATTGCATCAACTCTGTAAATGTTTAAAGGATAAACTAAATATATACATTTACATACATCTAACTCGAATCATTTTTCGATATATATTCACTGCAAATGAAAACACTGAAAAAATTTAATTTTACACTTTTCCTCCAGTTTTTCTATTACGGTCCATTTTAGAGAAATAA